ATTTGATTTAGAGATGCATGCAAGACCCAAGTCACCCGAAGGTCCAATCGGTCCCTAGAATGTAAGAACTCTCTTCTTCTCTTTTGGGATTAAAAAGGTTTCTGGATCACAGTTATCATCTGATGAAGACATATGCATGTCTTCGATGGATAATCTCACCATCTTTAAATTCCGAAGCTTGAGTTGAGCAGGAAGAGAAAGTAGGAATTTGAACACTTTAAGGAGGAATAGATTGCTCTAGGAGCATACCTTTTTGAAGACGAGGCAGAAAAGAACAATTCGAACACAGCAACGATCCTAACTTGAAGGAAGACGAGTTCGGCTCGAAGGTGATGAACTTTTTAGGAGGGAGAACGAGAAACACTAGAGCTTTTTGAATAAGGAAGAGTTTTTAAAATAGAAGGGGGGATATTTATATGAGGCTTCAAGAGGAGTAGTGGGCTGGCCTCTAAAGGCCCGAGCCCAAGGACTTATACATTTCCTTAAGTTAAGACCCAAAAATCTAAAATAACGAAAATGTCCAAGTCTGGAACAAGACCAGCTGCCACACTGAAATGATCAAGTATGGGCAACTAGCGCCTCAGAAAGAAGACAACAGAGCCTCTGCGAAGAAAAGACGCCAGAGCTTCTGCGAGGAGACATAGAGTTTCTGTAAAGAGATGCCAGAGCCTCTGTGAAGAGACACAGAGTCTCTGTGAAGAGTTGCCGGAGTCTCTATGAAAAGACACAGAGTCTCTGACAAGAGGCAACAGAGCCTCTGTTGATAACACTAGAGCCTCTGTGTCTGCCACCAGAGCCTCTGTGGCTAACACCAGAACCTCTGTGGCTGACGCCAGAGACAATGATCGAATAGGCGACCTCTTCAAGATCATACTCTGGATAAGGTTAATCCGAAAATACTTAGTTTTCTAATGAAGATTCCAAAATAAGGTCCTAACCTGGAAATCCAAAAGTGCAGAGTTGTTACAGATGCTTTGTCGGGATATAGTGTTAATCGGATAACACATAATCCTAAAAATTCATATCTTTAAAAAAATTAGATTTTAGCAATATTTGTAAGAAAAATATATCAATTAGCACCATACACAAATATTTTACTCCATATAGAAAAATGAACAGAATAATGAAAAATATTCAACACTCCCCCTCAACATTAGAATCCACATTCAAAAGTTTTCAATCACATAAAAAACTGAAATACTGATTTATATTTGAAAATACAGATATTTTGAAAATATAATAAATTTGACTTGAATTGAGTTCAATTACATTGAAATCAAAAATATATTAGTGAAACTAATAAACATAGGATTTTCAAGTTATTGAATAGTTTTTAAGAAAAATTCAAATTTCCAAATTCAGCATACCCAACTTAGATATTAAAAAGCAAAATTATTTTTCATCTAAAGCTTTTGTAAATAAGTCAGCTAGAAGTAGACACACAATTATGTTTCTTTGATGCCCAGGTTACTAGTGTATCTCCAATAAATTGTGTGTGACCTGAGGTGCTTTTCATGTCCAACATACACCCTGCATAATCTGCATCTGAGTAGGCAGTCAGCTCAAAACTAGTACCCTTAGGATACCAAAGTCCTAGATTAGTAGTCCTTTTTAGATAAATAACCATTGCTTCTTTTGAACTCATTTTGTCTGATTTAAGAAAATGGTCTCTGCAGTTCAAGATTTTGGTTAAAAAAATTAATACTCGAAAGACTATCAAAAAGTTCACACACAAAAATTTCATTCACACGAATACGGTCAAAGTCACACACAAAGTCTTAGATTAGTAGTCCCTTTTAGATAAATAGCCATTGCTTCTTTTGAACTCATTTTGTCTGATTTAAGAAAATGGATCTCCGCAGTTCAAGATTTTGATTAAAAAAAATTAATACTCGAAAGACTATCAAAAAATTCACACACAAAAATTTCATTCACACGAATACGGTCAAATTTCATTCACACGAATACGGTCAAAATGGACTAAGCCTTTATCTGGATAAAGTATTCGGATAGAGTCCCCAGATGATGTCTCCGGATGATGTCTTTGAATGACAAAGTCAAAGAAGAATCAAGAAGGTTATCGGACAAAGTGTCTCTGGACAAGGTTTCTCCGGACAATTAGATTAAAGATGACAAAATATGCAATTCTTATCCAAATGAATCACGTATACGGAGAATTATCAATCTGGGTATAACAACAATAAGCAACACTTGAATATTATCACAATCAAATTCGGATGAAGGTTTACCAGATATCAATAAGTCCGGACAAAGTATTAACCGGATACACAAAATCAATCACAAACCACAAAATGCAATCCACATAGCAAATCTTAACACAAGCAACAAATTTGAGAGGATATCACGTTATTTAACAACAAACAAATTTCAATGACTGGATACGAACAAATACATATATCAAACAAGAATATTCACTGTCCGACTATCACTTAATTCGGACACTAAGCAATATTCAATGGCCGGATTCGCTCGATGAATATCTTCAATGAGCGATGAATGACAAACACAATTCTTACCAAAAATTCACCAAAATATCGATCAAACCCACAACTTTTATGAATTTTTATATGAACAACAACTTTCTAGAAACTTAAAAAATTCTTCAAAATTTGACACATAATCGATCAATTACAAAAATTGTTTGAATACAATGATTCTAAACAATAATACGCACAATATGTGTAGTAAATCAAAGATCAAACAAAAAGATTATATGATTTTAGATAAGAAAATGAAGAATATGAACAAAAAATCTCAAGAACACTCAAGAACTCAATGAAGGACAGTCCGAATATGTGCAAAATTTTTATATTTATGTGTAGAATTTTCGAATCCGTGCAGTTTTCTATTCAAAATCGCTGTAGTTTGCTTTGATACCAAATGAGAATCCCAAATCTTCAAATCAGATACAATCAATCAAGAATAAAAATTGAATATAGAGAGAAATTTTCACCAAAGGATTTTTGTATTCAAAATATTTGAAGATTACAAAATGATTACTACTAACTAAAATTACAAGGAGAAAACTATTTATACCTAGAAAGCATTAAAGACTAAATTTACAAAATGGAGAAACTCTTGAATACAACATTATGCACAGCTTAAACCCAATAACCCTAAGTGTTCAACGTCAGTGGATGTCGCCTCTAAATCTACTAGACCCAATGAGAACTAGTTACCAAAGCAATCTTAATTTGTTTTCTTTTGTAGGAAGTCAAAGGCATTTGGTATGTCGGTAGTGGATGCACAAGACATATGACTAGAGACAAATCTCTGCTAAATGACTAAAAGGATAAAAAAGGCCCTTCTGTAACCTTTGGAGGAAACGAAAGAGGATATACCAAGGGGTTTTGGTATATTAACCAATTGTGCAACCACTTTCAAGCG